AGGGGGGGTCTGACGGCGGTGTATAGGGTGTATAGGGGAAGACTCAGAGCTGGGCTGACACTTGGATGGGGATATGGGGTGGGAAGGTCAATGAGAGGGTGTGGGGGTGTCTAGGAGGGGCTGTGGGGTGTAGAGAAGGATCAGGAGTGTGGAGGTGTCTGGAGCGGAGGTGTGGAGTGTGTAGGGGAAGCTGGGGGTGTGTGGGTGGGATGTATAGAGATCAGGGGGTGTCTGGGGGATGGGTGTGGGGTGTATGTGGCATCAGCGGGTGTCTGGGGGATGTGTGGGGGGGATCAGGGGGTGCCTGGGTGGATGTGGGGTGTACAGGAGAGATCAGGAAGTGTCTGGGATGTGGGGCAGGAGGCGTGTGGGGTGAGGGGCCCTATGGAGCTGCGTGCACGGAGGGTACCAGGACATCCTGGGTGGGTGTGGGGGAGTTTTTGGGTTGCACTGCAGGGGGTCCAGAGGCGTTGGAGCAGGAGGGGAGATGCTAGTGGGGTGGAAGGTTTGTGGTCTGCGTTTCTCCCTGGGTTGCCTAAAACTTCCGCTTTTGCTTTTATTTTAGGGCTCTGTTCACCTACGAAGGCAACAGCAATGACCTGCGAGTGGCCGGCTCCGGAGGTGAGCGTGGTGGGGGCTGCGTGCCCCAGGGGGGTGGCAGTGGGACAAGGGCCAGGGCACAGGTCTGGGGACAGAGGAGGGACCGTGGAGCCACTTTTCCAGACTCACGATTCCAGCTAAAGCCCACCCCACCCCCCCATTCTTTCTTTGCTTCCCTGCTTTGTGGGACTTATTTTTGTTTTAAATATTTTTTTAATCCGTTTGCCAATTCCCACACAAACGCTTCTTGAGGCGAAGCTCCAGCTGGTAGGAAGTGAGGCATCCCGGCAGGTTTATCCGCTCTCTGGATTTGCATCTCTGCTGTGTTCCCTCCCCGGCTCCGCTCCTCACCTGCCGGTATTCCTCCCGGCTCCCAGCGGTTGCGACGTTTCCGGGCAGCTCCACAGGGTCCGTGCTGCGGGCAATTTGCTGGCGCAGCCTTTTGTTCAGCCCACGAGGTTTATTGTGTGTAAATTAAAAGTTCGATGGGGTTTTTATGCCGAATTAGGCACGGTGTGGCTCCGTCAGCAGAACCCCAGCCCCTCAGCAAAGCTTCCCGTCCCGCCACTTCCCTCTCTGCCTTTCCACACCCGGCACGTTCAACACCCACCTGGCAAACGCCGGGGGCCTGAAGGCCCCAGGGCTTCAGCCTGGCAGCCTTAGGCTTGGAAGCCACCCTGCGCAAATTTAAAGCTGAAGCATAAATATTTAATAGCGGAGAAGAAAATGATCTGGGGTCCTGCTGCAGGGCTGGGCTGTACCATGGCAGCCAGCAGTCGGTAAGCAGTTGGTAGCTTGTTTTCTGCTTTTCAGGGGTCAAACAAGCCAAAGTAGGAGGAATTGTGGTCTGTTGGAATATTTCTGATGTGAGACCGCATGGTTCTTTGCGTTATTCCTCCCTTCCTGGTCATTTTTGGCATGTACACGTGCAGCAGGAGTGATGCTGGGGTGCAGGACAGCACTGTTCCTGGTGTGGGAACCCGCGGGTGGGGTTTGTGGCTGCCTGCTCTGGTTAAAGCCTTTAATTAGTCTGGGGCACATGGGCATCTCCTCTCTCTTCTCTGTTGCCGCTTGACTCGAGTTAGGGACCCGGGGTCTCTCTCCACGTGGAGCTGTGCGTGTCACGGGGAAGCTCTGAGGAAGAGGAGCGAAGGCTGGTGGGGGAGGGGGGGCTGGCGTTCAGCTCCAGCACAGACGGGCAGGTAAAGGACAGATGGGGGCAGTGAGGAAGGATCTGAGATGCTCTCTATGTAGAACAATGCCCGAGCTAACAGGAATCACCTCCAGGAAATACAGAGGCACCAGGTTGCCGACTGGGCCGATCCCACCATGTGTTTGTGATCTGTCTGTCTTACACCCTCTCCTTTCTCTCCTGGGGCAGATGGTGGCCTGGAAGAGATGGTGGAGGAGCTCAACAGTGGGAAGGTGATGTATGCCTTCTGTAGGGTGAAAGATCCCAACTCCGGCCTCCCCAAATATGTCCTCATCAACTGGGTGAGTGGGGACCTGGTGGAAATCAATCACATCTCTCTCCAATCGTAGTGGCTGATCGGTCTGCAGCTGGTGTGGAGGTCTCTCCACCAAGGTGTGACACGGATGGCATGCCGTGGCCACTGCTATGGCTGTGTGGTCCAGACCCTGTTGCCACAGGCAAATAGAGGCTGGAGGATTCGCTGCCCCGTTGCATCTCTTTGGTCGTGTAGCTCACTTGCCTGGCAGTGACACCGCCGATAAACGGCTCTGAACCCAGCTCAGATGACAGGTTTTTGCCCCTCTGCTGTACCATGGTGAGACCCCCCCCAGGTGCTGCCTCCAGCTCTGGGGCCACCAACATCAGAGAGACATGGAGCTGTTGGAGTGGGGCCAGAGGAGGCCATGGAGATGCTGGGGGGGCTGGAGCCCCTCTGCTGGGAGGGGGGGCTGAGAGAGTTGGGGGAGTCAACCTGGAGAAGAGAAGGCTCCAGGGAGACCTCCGGGCCCCTTCCAGTCCCTCAAGGGGCTCCAGGAAAGCTGGGGAGGGACTCTGGATCAGGGAAAGGAGCCATAGGAGGAGGGGGAAGGGTTTGACACGGAAAGAGGGGAGATGGAGCTGAGATGTGGGGAAGAACTTGTTTGGTGTGAGGGTGGTGAGAGCCTGGCCCAGGTTGCCCCGAGAAGCTGTGGCTGCCCCATCCCTGGAGGGGTTCAAGGGCAGGTTGGAAGGGGCTTGGAGCATCCTGGTGTGGTGGGAGGTGACCCTGCCCCGGGCAGGGGGTGGCACTGGGGGTGGCTTTGAGGTCCTTCCAACCCAAACCATTCTGTGATTCTATGATAAGATGGGCTGAATGAAGTGCTTGAGGAGCCTGGAGCCCTCATGGTGTGGCTGTTGTCCCTGGACAGGAACCCAGGTCCCCCTGAGCAGTGCTTGCTGCAGAGTGGGCTCTTTTTCCATGCACTGAGCCCTGGCCCAGCCCTGGCTGTGGCCAGGGTGGATGATTTGTGGGCTTAGACCAAGGTGCTGCTGCTCCAAAGCCCACCTGTGGCAAGACTCTGGGCTGAGTCAGACGATGGTTTCTCTTTGCAGACTGGGGAAGGCGTGAACGACGTGAGGAAAGGAGCCTGCGCCAACCACGTCAGCACTGTGGCCAACTTCCTAAAGGTCTGCTCCTCTTCTCGTTGTGTCCTCCCCAGATCAGTGGGCCCTGGGCAAGGGAACCTGCGTGACTCACCCTGCTCATCACGGGTGGCACAGAGGCATCTTTGGAGGTGGGACGGTGGTCAGGAGAGGCTGGGGCATTAAGAAGAGCATGGCCAGCAGGTGGAGGGAGGTCATCCTCCCCCTCTGCTCTGCCCTGGGGAGGCCCCAGCTGGAGCACTGGCTCCAGTTCTGGGCCCCCCAGTTCCAAAGACAGGGAACTGCTGGAGAGGGGACAGCGGAGGCTACGAAAATGCTGAGGGACAGGAGCATCTCTCTGCTGAGGAAAGGCTGAGAGACCTGGGGCTGTTCAGCTGGAGAAGAGCAGACTGAGAGGGAATCTCATCAATGCTGAGCAAGGCTAAAGGGCGGGGGGCAAGAGGATGAGGCCAGACTCTTCTCAGTGGTGCCCGGGGACAGGACAAGGGACAACAGGCACAAACTGGACACGGGACATTCCATCTCAACACGAGGAAAACCTTCTTTCCTGTGAGGGTGGCAGAGCCCTGGAAGAGGCTGCCCAGAGAGTGTGTGGGTCTCCTTCTCTGGAGATATTCAAACCCACGTGGATGTGTCCCGGTGTCCAACCTGCTCTGGGTGACCCTGCTCTGGCAGGGGGTTGGACTGAGTGATCTCCAGAGGTCCCTTCCAACCCCATATCATTCTGTGATTCTGTGGTCTTAGAGTGGCTGGTGACCTCCCTTTCTCACCCGAGCCTTTTTTTCTTCCTTTGGGAGCTCTGGGAGCTCAGACACGACCTATCAAAGGATCTTGGTGGGTGTGGTGGCTTCTAGAGTCACCTCTCGTTCCTGTGCTGGCTTTCTCCCTGCTCAGGGGGCTCATGTCACCATCAACGCTCGTGCAGAGGAGGACGTGGAGCCTGAACTCATCATGGAGAAGGTTGCCAAGGCCTCTGGGGCCAACTACAACTTCCACAAAGAGAGCAGCAAGTTCCAGGACTCAGGCCCTCAAGCTCCCGTGGTGAGTTGGCTTCATGGGGGCTTTCTGGTCCCTCTGGGCTCACAGTCGGGCAGGGACAAAGTCTTCCACCTGCAGTGGAAGGGGCTCCCTGTGCTTTGATGTGGCTGAGGAAGCACCGATGATTTTGCCCAGGGGCCAATTCTCTCTCTGGCTTGTTGCAGAGTGAATCAGGGCAAGAGCACGAGGTGGTGGCAGAGCCGAGGTGTCCCTGCAGAGGATAGAAAACCTGAGCTCTTTTCTCCATAGGCCCACGTGTTTGTTTTTTTTTTTTAAGCAGGACTGATTCTCCCCAGTTCTATTCAGGTTTTTAGAGATGCACAAGCTCCTGCTTTGGACGTTTCCAGAAAAGCTGTGGCTGCCCCATCCCTGGAGGAGTTCAAGGCCAGGATGCCCATGAGGCAGCAATGGGCCCTGGTGGCCAAGAAGGCCAATGGCATCCTGGGGGGCATCAGGAAGAGTAGGACCAGCAGGTGGAGGGAGGTCATCCTGCCCCTCTGCTCTGCCCTGAGGAGGCTCCAGCTGGAGCACTGGGACCAGTTCTGGGCTCCCCAGTTCCAGAAGGACAGGGAACTGCTGGAGAGAGTCCAGTGGAGGGCTGGAAAGATGACGAGGGGCCTGGAGCATCTCCCTTACGAGGAGAGGCTGAGGGACTTGGGTCTTTTTAGTCTGGAGAAGGGAAGACTGAGGGGGGAATCTGATCAATGTTTATAAATACTTCAAGGGTGGGTGTCAGGAGGATGGGGCTGGTCTTTTTTCAGTGGTGCCCAGTGACAGGGGTAATGGGCACAAACTTGTACATAAGAAGTTGCATCTAAACATGAGGAGGAACTTTTTGACTTTGAGGGTGGCAGAGCCCTGGAAGAGGCTGCCCTGCTAACACCCCCCCCCCCCCCGACCCCCAGACTTGTTTCTGTGCAACCTGCTCTGGGTGGACCTGCTCTGGCAGGAGGTTGGACTGGGTGATCTCCAGAGGTCCCTTCCAACCCCATATCATTCTGTGATTCTATGATTCATTCTGTGATCAGGTTTTAGTAACTTCTAAAAAGTCAAAGACTGTGCTGAACACCAGACTGTGCTGGGTTTGCTGTAATACACTGTCACAATGTGTCTGTTTTTCCTTCTTGATGCTAAATATCTTCCCTTCACCCTCTCAACCCAGCCTGCTGGCCCGTGGCCATGTGGGACTGGGTGTCCTTGGCCAGGGGAAGGCAAAGAAGGCTGCCAGTTCCATAGCAGTGGGAGGGAGCTGCCAGAAAGCCATGGGGACATGTTCCTGCTGAAGAATGCAAAAACTGTGGTTGCTCAGTGCCTACTGCTCACACATGCCAACAGCATCCTGGCCTGTGTCAGGACCAGCGTGGCCAGCAGGAGCAGGGCAGTGATGGTGCCTCTGGACTGGGCACTGGTGAGGCCTCACCTCGAGTGCTGTGTTCAGTTCTGGGCCCCTCACTAAAAGAAGGACATTGAGCTGCTGGAGCGTGTCCAGAGGAGAGGCACCAAGCTGGGGAGGGGCCTGGAGAACAAGCCATACGAGGAGAGGCTGAGGGAACTGGGCATGTTTAGTTTGGAGAAGAGGAGGCTGAGGGGGGACCTCATTGCCCTCTACAACTCCCTGAAAGGAGGGTGTAGAGAGTTGGGGGTTGGCCTCTTCTCCCAAGGGAATAACGACAGGAGCAGAGGAAATGGTCTGAAGTTGGGGCAGGGGAGGTTTAGATTCGATCTTGGGAAGAATGACTTTGCTGAGAGGGTGCTCAGGCACTGGAACAGCCTGCCCAGGGAGGTGGTGGGGTCACCATCCCTGGAGGGATTTCAGAAACGTGTAGACATGGCACTTCAGGGCATGCTCTAGTGCCCAAGATTGTTGGGTTTTGTCTGTCTGTGGGTGGGTGTGGTGTGGGTCTGTGTTTTGGGTTTTTTGTTTGTTTGTTTGTTTTTGTGGTTGGACTCAATGATCTCAAAGGTCCCTTCCAACCATGAATATTCTGTGATTCGGTGATTCTTCTGCCTCCCCCCAGGGCTCTGTCTACCAGAAGACGAATGCAATGTCCGAAATCAAGCGAGTCAATAAAGATAATTTCTGGGCTAAAGCTGAGGTGGGTGCTGCCGCTTCTCCCCAGCAGCCAGGCACGGGTGGGACAAGGCATTTGGATGGAGCTGGGGATTTCGGGCTGTCTGCCTGTCCCCTCTCTGGCCTGGAGCTGGGGCTTCAGACCTTGGAGAGTGTGGAGCTGAGCTGGCTGCGGGGGTCCAAGGAGAGGAGAAAATGAGTCTTAAAGAGCAAGATGCCTTTTATCTTAGTTTAATTGGGCCAGGGTGCGTGTGGGGAAGAGGGCTGCGCTGCAGCCTGGCTCCCAGTGGATGGCAAACTCCATTTGAGTAAGAAAGCTGGTTTTTGACCTTTCTGAGGACAGCCCTGCAAGCCTGGTCATTTCCTTCCCATTCGGGTTGTTTTATAGCAGTTTAGCAATAGTGGGCGAGCCTTCTGGCTGTGGGCAGGTTATGGGTGCTGCCACCATGCTGGCTGGGAGGCACAGCGACCCGGGGGGTTCTTGAAGCCGTCAGAATGAAACCCACGACTTGTTGCCCGTCTCCCATTAGAAAGATGAAGAAAACCGTCGGCTGGAGGAGAAGAGGAGGGCGGAGGAGGAGCGGCAGCGGCTGGAGAGGGAGCGTCGGGAGCGGGAACTGCAGGAGGCGGCGGGGCGAGAACAGAGATACAAAGCGAGATCCAACGAAATCGAAGCCCAGAGGTGAGTCCCAAGCACTCGTAGCCATGCCCGGAGCCTGTCCTGCTCTCCGGGATCTCTTGGCTTTGCCCTCGGTGGTGCTGTGTGCCCTTGTCAGCACCTTTCCCGAGCTGATGTCCCCACTCTGGCTCTTGGGGTGCAGAGAGCATCTTTTCCCTGGCCCAACCTCCAACAAGCTGGTCTGGCATCACCCGTGGGGTTCCCTGCCCACTGATCCTGCCCAGGACCAAGTCCTCCCCTGGCAGGCTTCAACCTCCAACAGGGTAGGTTTAGACTGAACATTAGGAAGGAATTTTTCGGGCATTGGAACAGGCTGCCCAGGGAGGTGGTTGAGTCCCCATCCCTGGATGTGTTTGAGTCGTTTAGATGCGGTGTTGGGGGATATGGTGTAGGGGAGAACTTTGTAGAGTAGGGGAGATGGTTGGACTCGATGATCCCAAGGGTCTCTTCCAACCTGAATGATTCTATGATTCTGAAACATGTCACTGAAACGTGTGGCCACCATTCATCAGGTGCTGGTAGTCCAGGCTGGCCAGTGGAGGCCTGTGAGCCCTGCAGGCCCTGCAGAGAGGCAGCAGCATGTGCAGGGACCGGCATTGTGCTGATTTCCTTCCCCTCCCAGCCCGGCCTGACCCCCAGGAGTGGTGGAGCTCACTTCTGCTGACGGCAGGGGCACTGCTTTCCTGTTTTCAGCTCGGATGGGGAAGTCTGCCCGGCCCCTCTGTGCTGGGAGCTCTTCTCTGGGCCCCTGAAGGAAGAGATTTCCCCAGTTTGGTCCCACTATTTGAAGCAGCTCCTTGTTGTCCCCTGTGTGGCTCCCAGGTGGCCTGTGGCTCCTCATCTTGCCCCGGGAGTGTGGTGAAATGTCCTTCCTCTGGTCTTCCCTGTGTAGCTGCAGCAGGCTGAGGTCCCAGAACAGCCCCGTTTACCCCGATTTGTGTTCTGTCACCGCAGGAGACTCCAGCAGCAGCAGGAGGCCAAGAACAGGGACAAGGAGCAGCAGCAGTGGGTGAGCTCCGGCGTCGTGCCCCAAGGCCAGGCTTATTCCTGCGTCCCCCAGGCCAGAGGACAGGGCAGGCGGTGCAGCCCAGGCTGCGGGCAGAAGCAGGAGGGTGATGGAGGAGCACCCCAGGCAGTGGGGGAGGAGCACAGCAGGCAGGGGATGTGGAAAGACCCACGGACCCTCTCTGGCAGGAGACAGGCCATGGGCTGATCCTCCAGGTCTCTTTCTTCATCCTGGATTTTGTTGGATCTCGCTTTACACCTCTGCTCATGCTGGGTGCGTGCTGCTGGTGGAAAGTCCAGCCACGGCCCCTGGTGAAAGCAGAGTTTAAAACCTTCCCTGGGGACACTGGAGGAAACCAAGCCCTTATCCCAGCCAACCTCCTGCATCTCCCTCCCAGATCCAGGGGGTTTGCTCCCTATTCACACTGCATCACCATGTCTGTTCCTTGTCCCTGTTTCTCCAGCCCTGGGGTCTGGATGCAGAAGCAGGAGCTGGATGGGGACAGAGAGGGGCTGGATGGGGAAGAAGAGGGGCTGGATGGAGAAAGAAAGGGGCTGCATGGGGACAGAAAGGGGCTGGTGGGGAGGGAAGGGTCTGCATGGGGAAGGAGGTGGCTTGGTGCCCACCAAGGCTGTAGCAGCCCCTCTCTTGTGCTGCAGAAGGAACAAGCTGAGGAGTACGAGGCCAGGCAGCAGAAGGGCTTCAGGAGAAGCGAGTCAGTGGAGAAAGCCCAGGTACGCTCTGCTGGGGGGGCTGTGGGGGCTCTGATACCTGTCCTGTGGCCATGGTGCCCAGACCAGTGTGGGGTCTTCTCCTGCGCAGGAGGCAGCCTCGCTGGTCGCACAGAGGGCGGTGAACCCCCGAGACATCTTCAAGCAGAGGGAGAAGTCGGTGCCAGCGGATGCGGTGACGGCTTCCCAGCCAGGTATGGCAGCAGGTCGGGCAGAGTGAGACCGTCTCCGGTGCTCCCGATGGGGGGGACATGTTTGGGACGGGCATGTTACCTGTTGAGCTCTGGCTCCTGCTGAGCACGGGTGGCTCTCATCACACCCAGTGCCCATCACACCCAGTGACACGATGTTTCTCATGGTAGGGCTCTCGCTGTGCCCGATTTTAACAGCTGAGATGGAGGTTGTCCATACTTTGACTTGACACGTGAAGCTTAGATTTCATTTTTTAAATGAAAATTAAATGTATTAGAGTGAGAAAGGGGCCACTGCCACAATCTACCCTGTAAATTCCACCCCAGTTTTTGCACTGACTGAGCCAAGCCAGAGTGCGTCCCTTTAGGAGAGACCGAGCTGATCTGTCACATAGAAACCAGGAAGCTGTGAAAACCGAAGCTGAAACCAGCTGAGGAAGTCACTGAGAACACTGCATGTCCCTGCATGGACGTCTCCTCAGCTCAGCCTCCTTGAAAGTAGCATGAATTGATTTGGAATAAGCACTTTTATTTTGCGATAGGAGGGTGAATTCGCTTTCTCAGGTAGGGAAGCCATGGGTGGCACAGGATGAAACACCACGGTTGGGAAAACATCTTTTTTTGTGTTTAAACATCATGGGGGGAGAGGCTGATTTCTGAGGGTGAGAAATCCCTTGGGCTTTCCCGTGTTTGTGTTAGTGTTTGGTGTTTTTTTGGTGGAGGAAAGGAAGACGAGCACCCTGGCAGGGATGAAACCTGCAGCTGAGGGCACAGGCTGGTGAGTCTTGGTGCTTATTCACCACCGGGCTGGGGTAGGGCTTGTCTGGTAACTCCCCTGCTCTGCTTTTGTTTGCATTGGGAGGCAGAGATGGGGCAGATAACAGCAAGAGTTACCTCCTGCCAAAGGGAAGTGAAGGCTGGCAGCAACCAGTCTGAATCCAGCCCCTCCCAGTTGCCGCTCCTAACGTTGGTGAAATCCAGGGTGCTCCAAAAATCACCATGGAGAGCCCAGAGAGGTGGTGGTGTCCTCCAGCTGGTCTTCCTCCCCAAAATTATGTCTTTTTTTTTTTTTCTTCCCTTGGCTGCAGCTACTGCTGTAACCAGTAGACAAACTTGTTTTCCCCAACTGGGATTACAGCTTGAAAATCCTGCTTAGGAGGGTAACCCAGCAGTGGGCTGCTGTGGCAAAAAGCATCTGACAACACCCTTCAGTGACTGGCTCCAGGGAGTCCTGGGGCTGTGGCCACGGAGCTGGGAGCCTCCATGCCTGCCTGGCTCCTGCAGCACCTTTGACTCCTTGTCACAGAATCACAGAATGATATGGGGTTGGAAGGGACCTCTGGAGATCACTCAGTCCAACCCCCTGCCAGAGCAGGGTCACCCAGAGCAGGTTGGACACCGGGACACATCCATGTGGGTTTGAATATCTCCAGAGAAGGAGACCCACACACTCTCTGGGCAGCCTCTTCCAGGGCTCTGCCACCCTCACAGGAAAGTTCTTCCTGATGTTGAGATGGAATGTGCCATGTCCAGTTTGTGCCTGTTGTCCCTTGTCCTGTCCCTGGGCACCACTGAGAAGAGTCTGGCCTCATCCTCTTGCCCCCTGCCCTTTAGCCTTGCTCAGCATTGATGAGATTCCCTCTCAGTCTGCTCTTCTCCAGCTGAACAGCCCCAGGTCCCTCAGCCTTTCCTCAGCAGAGAGATGCTCCAGTCCCTCAGCATTTTCGTAGCCTCCGCTGTCCCCTCTCCAGCAGTTCCCTGTCTTTGGAACTGGGGGGCCCAGAACTGGTCCCAGTGCTCCAGCTGTGGTGTCCCCAGGGCAGAGCAGAGGGGGAGGGTGATCTCCCTCGACCTCCTGGCCATGGTCTTCTTGATGCTCCCCAGGAGACCATTGGCCTTCTTGGCCACCAGGGCCCATTGCTGGCTCACGGGCAACTTGTCCACGAGGACTCCCAGATCTCTCTCTGCAGAGCTGAGAGCTGTCTGTCAGCTCTGTCCTGGTGCAGGGGGTTATTCCCCCCCAGGTGCAGCACCCTACACTTGCCCTTGTTGAATTTCATCAGGTTCCTCTCTGCCCAACTCTCCAGCCTGTCCAGCTCTCACTGGATGGCAGCACAGCCTCTGGGGTGTCAGCTTTGTGTCACCATACAAACTGCTGAGGGTACACTCTGTCTTCTCATCCAGGTCGTTGATGAATGTTGAATAAGACCGGACCCAGTACTGACCCCTGGGGAACACCCATAGCTACAGGCCTCCAAGAGCACCCTGTGCTGCTGATCACAACCCTCTTCTGCCCTTTTCCAGGCAAACTTCGCAGCCCTTTCCTGCAGAAGGAGGTCAACTCTGTGCCCAGTCCTGCCTCCCCCATCTCTCCTGCCCGGGAGGCTCCCCCAGCATCCTTCACCCCCTCCAATGCTTGGGGGATACCTCCAGCCTCTCCGGTACCCGCTGCAGGTGCGTGGCTTTGCTTCCTCCCCTAACTAGAGCTTTTCACCTCACTTTTCCAAAGAGGACCCCCAAAATTTGGCATTTTGAGGTCAGGCTCTGAGTGTCTGTTGTGTTTTCCCCTGCATTGGCAAACCAAGAGCAGATCTTTCAGCCAGAAACCCCCTTGATGAAGCCAGTTTGGTTCCGTCACTGTGGCGCTTCACCCAGTTCCATCATTCTTCAGTAATTTGGGCCATTCTTACTGTAGTAATATTGATATAACTTACAGCAGTCATAGTAGTGATGACATCTAGTGGTAAATTATACCACTATAGATGGCTCTGGGGAGACCTTCAAGCCCCTTCCAGTCCCTAAAGGGGCTCCAGGAAAGCTGGGGAGGGACTCTTGATTAGAGAGGGGAACTCTAGGAGGAGGGGAAAGGGTTTGACCTGGAAAGAGAGGAGATGGAGCTGAGATGTGGGGAAGAACTTGTTTGGTGTGAGGGTGGTGAGAGCCTGGCCCAGGTTGCCCCGAGAAGCTGTGGCTGCCCCATCCCTGGAGGGGTTCAAGGGCAGGTTGGAAGGGGCTTGGAGCAACCTGGTGTGGTGGGAGGTGTCCCTGCCCAGGGCAGGGGGTGGCACTGGGGGGGCTTTAATGTCTCTTCCAACTCTAACCGTTCTGTGATGCTATGAAATTAGCAATTGACATCATACAGTTTGATTCATTGGCTGTTCTCACCCAAAATCAAATGCCCTGAGGCACACATTGGAATTCCCCATCCTCTTGTGTCACCCACCGAGTGCCCCCAGGTCCTTGAGCAAAAGCGATCCCAGGAACGGGTTTGCCTTTGCCTGAGGCAGGAATAATCCAGAGGGTCCTCTTCTTGTGCACTACAGGGGCTTTCTCCCCTTCCCCTGGACCAAGGTTTGGTTGGGCAGGGCCATCTTGATTGATAGATCCCCTGGTGTTAACTAGCCAGGTAGCCTTTGCTAAATGTGTGTCCCAGTGTTTTAAAGTCCCACTGCCCGATGCTCTCGGTGCAGTTTTTAACAGTCCATTGTACCTCTTCCCAGAGGCGGGTGCATGGTGGGGGGTGTGACAGACTCTGGGCTCTTTGGCCCAGGTGTCAATGAGGCTGTTTTGGAAATGAGTCCCGTTGTCCGAGCCAGTTCTCCCTGGGGTGTTGTGTCACTGTAAAACTCGATGTCAAGGCCTGGGGTGGTGTTCCAGGTGGTGGTGTGGGGCACGGGGTCTGTCTCCAGCCACAGGGGAGGGCAGGGGGAAGCTGGGGCAGGGGGAGAGCTGACGCTGCCTGCTGCAAAGCTCCCTTGTTTCCTCCTGAGCCTTAGCAGGAGGTTCAGGAGGACATCTGGCTGTTGAGCTGAAATTCAGCTCCCAGAGCCTATCTCCATCTCAGACCTTTCGAAAATGCCTTTGAGACCCAGAAAAAGGCTCCCCACCCTCAGGCAGTGCTGTCCCTCTGAGCGTGGGGACAGCATCCAGTTCTCACAGGGCTGAGTTTTCAGCACCCCAGTAAAGACCAGAGAATCTCTGCATGTCCTCGATGCTGGGCTGCAAGGGCTGGGGTGGAAAGGCAGGGAGAGGAAGCTCCAAAGAACTTCTGGATCTGGGGAGATGCTCTGTCCCCTTCCAGGTGGTTTGGGTGGGAAGAGCAAGGCTGCAGGAGGTCTGGCTCTCTGGAGGGTCTCCCTGGTGGTGGCATGGAGGTGTTGCCCTGTCCTGGAAGGGCTGAGTGGTTTCATGTCCCAGCTGACTTGTCCCCAGCTGGCTGGGCTCCTCACTGCCCTGTCCTGAGGCTGCTCCACAGCTTGGCTTCAGGAAGGTGAGAGCTGGGAAACTATCTCCAAGCTGCCTTTCCCAAAAAAAATCAAAATGGACCTGGTTACAAATCAAACCCTTGGAGGGTTCAGCCAGAAACAGATTTTCTTTGGTGGAGCAAAACCATGGTTATTCTTTTTCTGCTGCCCACCCCAGCCGCGGGGCCGAGCTGCGGCAGTCCCCAGGCTGTATCACCACTAGATGCTGCTCTTGGCCAGGATCTCTGCTCCAGCCCTTCCCTGTCAGGTCCTCACCATGAGCAGCAGCTTGGGAATGGTTCATCTTGAAGAAGCTTATTCCTTTCCCCATGGGAGATCCTGGATGTCTCCCTCAGCCTTTTTGTTATTCCCTAAGCACCTGCTCGCCCCACGCCTGGGTTCCTGCTTGCTGGACCCAAGCTCTCTGCAGGACAGGAGACCTAGGAGATGTCCAGCTCATACCAGAGCCTTGGTGGCACTTCAGCTTGAAGCAGGAGTTGGGCAAGCAAAGGGACAGGGGAGGTTTTGGTGATGGATATCACGGTGTTCTTTTGCAGGACAAGACTCTGGGTACAATTCAAGTGTCCCAGCTTCCCACGCGGATGAGGCAAATCTGTACGAGGAGCCGCCGGACGCCTCAGCCATCTATGAAGAACCCCCTCAGGTAGGTGTGTGGGGAGGATGGAGGAACCCTGGAGGGAATAGGGCACCCGAGAGCCAGCCAGGACCCTCATGAGAGAGAGCAGGGCTTTGGCTCATCTGTTGGGACAAGTCTGGAACCAGTGTCTCTTCTCTTTGGGTCTCTCTGGTGCTCGGAGCCTGTCTGCCCAGGCTGAGGTCAGTGGGAAAGTGAGAAACCCTGGAGCTCACACACACTTGGGCGATGCCTGCATGGCAAGGGGATGCTGCTGCCTCCCTTCCCTGCATCCATGGAGTGAGCGGATGCTGCTGCCTCCCTTCCCTGCATCTGCACGTGAGGGGATGCAGGAGATGCTGGCGCTGAGCACTGGTCCCCAGTCCTGTGCCATGGGACATCCATGCTGTCCCTGCTCCCATCCGTCTTGTCAGCCTCTTTGCCAAAGTGATTCCTCCTCCTCCTTGTGCTTTTTGCATGTCCCAAACCAGCAGAGCTGACAAAGCCCAGCTATTTTTGGCAGGCTCCATCAGATTCTCCAGTGTCTAATAGTGGGGTTGTGTTTCCCTTGGAGATGAGGTGGCTGTTTGGTTTCCTCTCCTCTATTCGTCCATCTTGTCATGTCCCCCCCAGGCCCTAAAACCATAAGCATTTCAAACATACCTCATTTTCTCATTCCCAAATCTGTCTGGCAATGCCCAGCTGGTTGAAATGGAGCGGGAGATGGGCTGAGCGCTCGCCCCAGCCATTCTGCATGGCAGAAGAGTACAAAACTCCAGCTCAGGGCTCGGGGTAGTGGCGAGAGAGAAATGCTTGGAAAACTGGAGCTGGAGCTCATTCAGATTCAACAGGTTTAAACGTGGGGGGTGCTGACCCATGGAGATCCCGGGGGTCAGCTGCTGGATGGGTTCCCTGCCGCCGGTCTCGGCGTTCCTGGCCGTTCTGACTGCCGGAGGCACGGCCGAACGCGTGTCAGTGTGGGAGCCTCCCCTCTGGATCCCCACTGCACCCCTCTGGATCGCACCCTCCGCTCCTTTGTGTCCTGCCAGAGACACCTGGAGCCCCCAGAACCCACATTTTTATTCTGGGGGGAAACTCATGTTTTGCTGAGGCTCAGGGGGACTGGTCTGATCCCAGTGTTTCCTCCTGCCGTTCCTGGGGGGCAGCCAGGAAACTGAGCGGGGGTGCAAGAAGTGGAGTGTGCTGGGGGGGCAGACCCTTGAGCACAGACAATATAGTGTAGCTATTTAATTATTTTCTTACTATCTTATTATTATTTTATGATTAATATTTCATTACATTATTCACTTTTCATTAGTGCAGTTTCTTTACAACTCATAAGTCTCTCCTTAATTTTATCTCCTTCCTTCTGGGGTGGGAAGTTAAAAGGGAGCATCTATCCTTTGTTTTAGTGGCCAGTCCAGCCCATTTTGTATGTATTTCACTATTTTCTTATGAATATTATTGTATTTTCTTTTTATTATTTTATTATTAACATGTCCTTAAAGGTAGTTTAGTTTCTTTACAACTTGTAAGTCTTGCTTTGATTTTCTCTCTCCTTCTGGGGAGGGAAATTAAAAGAGAGCATCTCTCTTGTGGTTGGACTCGATGATCTCAAAGGTCCCTTCCAACCTTGAATATTCTGTGATTCTGTGATCTCTCGTTCGTTTTCATGCCAGTCCAGCCCTGACCATGGCATCCTCACGGCGCTAACGAAGCCTCAGCTGCCTGCTGGGCGTCCTTCGCGCCGGTAACTCCTCCTCTGCCTCTCTCTTTCCTGAAGGACCAAGTCGACGATGCCAAATACGGGTACCCGGTGGAGTACCAGCAGGCGCCGGACCTGGCGGGGAAGGGGCTGTGTGCACGGGCACTCTACGACTACCAGGCTGGTGAGCCCAGCAGAGCGACCGGGACGGGGGCATTTGCTGAGCCCTGTCCGTTCCCAGAGAGCTGGACCGGGGACATTGCCCATCGCACCAGGCGATCCCATGGCAGAGTGCTAGACAGCATGTTTTCCACCCAAATTGGGGCTGGAAAAGCAAGCAGAGGAAGATGATGGCTTCTCTTTATTTTTCCCTGACATGTTTCTCGCTCACCTCCCTGTGCAGGGTCCTGCTACTGGGTGGGGGTGACCCCCATTACCAGTAGGGGCTGGGGATGAAGGAGAGCAGCCCTGAGAAGGGCTTGGGGATGTTGGTGGGTGAGAAGCTCCACCCTGGGCTGCATCCCCAGCAGCGTGGGCAGCAGGGCGAGGGGGGGTTCTGTCCCTCTGCTCCGCTCTGGGGAGACACCCCCCAGTGCTGCCTCCAGCTCTGGGGCCACCAACAGCAGAAGGACATGGAGCTGTTGGAGCGGGGCCAGAGGAAGCCACGGAGATGCTGGGAGGGCTGGAGCCCCTCTGCTGTGGGGAGGGCTGAGAGAGTTGGGGGGTTCAGCCTGGAGAAGAGAGGGCTCCAGGGAGACCATAGAGGCCTTTCCAGTCCCTAAAGGGGCTCCAGGAAAGCTGGGGAGGGACTCTTGATCAGAGAGGGGAGCCATAGGAGGAGGGGGAAGGGTTTGACACTGAAAGAGGGGAGATGGAGCTGAGATGTGGGGAAGAACTTGTTTGGTGTGAGGGTGGTGAGAGCCTGGCCCAGGTTGCCCCGAGAAGCTGTGGCTGCCCCATCCCTGGAGGGGTTCAAGGGCAGGTTGGAGGGGGCTTGGAGCAACCTGGTGTGGTGGGAGGTGTCCCTGTCCAGGGCCGGGGATGGCATTTGGGGGGGGCTTTAAGGTCCCTTCCAACCTGAACCAGTCTGATTCTGTGGTTTCTCACCCCCTTCCTCGGAGCCTGTTTTACCCAGATATTCACATCTTATAATTGACTAGTTTCAACTCCCTGTCTCGTTCTGTCTCGTTCCAGCTGATGACACCGAGATCTCATTCGACCCAGAGAACATCATCACCAACATCGAGATGATCGATGAGGGCTGGTGGCGTGGCTATGGTCCCGATGGCCATTTTGGCATGTTCCCTGCTAATTATGTGGAACTGATAGAGTGAGGGGGCTGGCAGGGACCAGAGCCGCCCTGTCCCCTGGGACCACTTGGCTCCTGCCTGATTCTTCTTCCAAATGATACGTGGCTTTTATTTCTTTTATTTCTTCTATTTTTCTTTTTTTGTTTGGTTGGGTTTTTTTTTGTTGTTTTTTTTTGTTTGTTTCCAAGAGAAGTGCCATTGCCCCGCTCCCTCGGTGGCAGGGCTGACCCCGGCGCTGCTCTCCTCCATCCTCACCCATCCCCCAGAGCTGGCCCTTGGTCAGGATGAGGGGTCATCCCATGTCCCCCCCCTCCTCCTCCCTCTGCTTTGGGGTGTGAATTCTTTTTCAGGGCTGAAGGAGGGGATGACAAATCCCTTACGGGGCATTTTCAGGGAACAAGTTGCCTCTTCCCCCCACTGCCTCCACGCTCCCTCCCACCCCGTGGCCGTGATGGAGGAACCGCTTTCCCCATTTTGGCTCGCTGACGAAGCTCACTGGGGTGATTTGAGCCTCTCGTGGGGTCTGACATGATCAGGAGAGCGGAAACCTGGCTTTGCCACCCCCAGAGCTCCCCGCCAGGGCTGCCACCACCCGCGTGTTCCTCCCTGCTGTCCCCAACAGAGGGGTTTTCTCTGCCCTCCCCTCTCCCCAGGCTGAACTTGGGACACTGAAGTCATGCAAGAGCCAGCTCCTTGGGAGGAGATCTGGTGAGGCCAAAGTGGGTGGTTTATTTTTTAGCAAAAGCTGTGAGCGTGGGGTCCCTCCCCTCCCCACCGCCCCATCCCCCTAAATTCACTGTGAACAAGGAAGAGCCCAGCCCAGCTCCCACCTTTATCCCCTTGTTGAGTTTCTCCCCTCAGCGTTGCTTTAGGATTAGGAGGTGCCAGGGTTTGGAGGTGCTGGGGGTCCCATGCCCCGGGCTCCCGTGGGCTCCTTCCCCACCCCACACTCCCCCACTGCCGTCCCTGTCCCTCCCAGTGACAATAAAAGGGCTTTTCTTTGGTGATGGATGCAGCAGGATCTGACCATGTGGTCCTGGGCAGGAATTGGGGTGAAATGGTGGTGTTTTGGTGCAGGGTCAGGTAGAGCTCACCTATTCCTAAAGTTGACTGCGAGCGCTAACAAGGTGGCTTTTAATAAGGTGAAGCTGAGCCGCGTGTGGGAATCACCATGTGTTTGTACAACAGGTCATCGTGCCCGGGTTCATGCTCCAGAGCAGGATGCGAAGGCAGGGATAATTAGATAAATAATTAGCCCCAGTGCTGATTATTTGAGTCTAATGAGGAAGAGAGGGTCAGTCAGAAAAACAGCTGGAGGCAGCAGCTGGCAGAAATGAGCTGGCAGGGCCGGGGTCCTGGGTCTGGGTGGCCCTGGGGGTCTAGAGGGGCTGCAGGATGGGTTTGGGGACACTGGGGATGTTGGGGACTGTGGAGATAACCTGGGGTGGGGACACTTGGGGGTACGTGGACATGGAGGCTGCAGGGACACCAGGATGAGGGGTCCTTGGGGATGCAGGGACACTGGATTTGGGGACGTGAGGGACTTGGGGATGTGAGGACACTGGGGTCCTAGAGACACCGGGGACATGGAGATGCTGCAGACCCAGGGCTGGCAGCCAGGGGAGTGCCATGGGGCATCTCCCAGCCGTGCTGGAGGTGGGTGCTCACACAAGGACCAGGGCTCTCTGGTCACCTCAGCGCCCAGGGGTGCTGCCAGCCTGTGGGGACATAGTAGGGCAGTGTGCCTCACCCCGTGGGGCAGAGGCCTGGTGCACTTGTGACACCTGCAGGATGCCATGTGGGGTGGCATCTCGCCAGGGTGGTGGGGACATCTTCCTGCTACTACCATGGCCCCCATGCTGCCATAGCCCTGCCCCACCTGTGTCCTCCTGCTGCGTCCCCCTGTCCCCAGGGCTGGCACCACACCCAGAGCAGTGAGAGGCAGGACTTGGCATCATCCTGTTATTCACCAGGGCCTGGGCACAGGATGGGGGAATGCGTGGGCATGGGATGGGCGTGGAGATGATGGGGCACAGGGGTGGCATGGGATGGGGTGGGCATGGAGATGGCATAGGGTGGGCATGAGCAGAAAGGTGGTGAGGGCATGGAGATAGCAGAGGTGCAGCAGTGAGGGTGAGGAGAGTTGTGTGGGCACAGTGTGGGCATGGCAGGGGCTTGGGGATGGCATGGAGATGGGAATGAAACAGGCATGGGGTGGGCAAAGGCACGGGATGGCACTGGGATGGGGATGGTACAGTCAAGGGGATGGAGTTCAGGATGGCATGGACATGAGGATGACGGGATGGGACTGAAAGGGGCATGGGGTGGGCAAAGGCACGGGGATAGCGATGGCTCGGGGATGGCACAGGAATGGGGATGGTGTGGGCTTGGGGGTGGCATGAGCATGGGAATGGAGATGGCAAAGGGATGGGTATGACATTGGCATGGGGTGGAGAAAGGCAGAGGGGTGGCATGGGAATGGTGTGGGGTTGGCATGGCCTTGAGGATGGCATGGGGACGGGCAGGCACAGGGATGTCACAGCGTGGGGATGGCATGGTCACGGGGACAGTGGAGCAGGGCACAAGTGTTGGCAGGGGGCTGGCACAGCCAGTACAAGCCCGGTGACACCCTGGGCCTGGCCCTGGCCCCGTGGGCACCTGCTCCCTCACTTCCAGCTGGTGAAGAACTGCTTGAAGAGGGTCGTCTCGCGGCCCTGGGGCAGGATCTCCACCTGCCAGGACAGGCACAGGAAGGGGATGGGGACCAGGATGGGTGACATTGCCTGTGCCAGCCCCTGGGCACCCCGGCCACCTGCACCCACCTGTGTCTGGGGCGAGTGGCCCATGCGGGTGATGACCTCCTCGGCCACTTTCAGGGCTGCCTGGCGCTCCTGCTCGTTAGCCTTGCGCCCTGCAGATGGGGACGTCAGAGCCACATGGGGACTGGCCCCCGGCCCCAGGTTCCCTGCCATCCCCTTCCCTGGGCACCTTTCCAGACGTAGACCTTCCCACCAGCGCCATTGTCCAGCACGAAGCAGTCGTCAGGGCAGAGCAGGCTCTGGCTGAAGGGGCTGCTGGTGGCCACCTGGCTCAGGTCCATGTGCCCTGTCGCATCTGACACCTGCCCACAGACAGGCCATTACTGCGGGGCCACCGTGGTGTCCAACCCTGTGTCCTCCCACACAGTCACTGCTGCACCCCCCATCCCTGCCCTGCCCCAGGGCCACCATTGTGTCCCCTGGCTGTGCCCAGATCCATATAACCCCTGGGGCCACCATGGTGTCCCCAGCCATGCACAACTCCTTGCGGTTTTCCTAGGGCCACCACAGTGTCCCCAGCAACGCCCAGATCCCCTGTGGGGCTACCACAGCATCCCCCAGCCATGCCCAGCCCCAGGGCCACCATGGTGTCCCTTCGCCATGCCCATCCCTGAGACCACCCTGGGGACACTGAGCTATGCCCATCCCTGGGGCCACTATGGTGTCCTAAGATGACCTTGCCTTGTAGAGGATGGCTGCCCTTGCGTTTCTCTGATCGGCCACAACATCCTCCTCGGGGCTGCCCTCCTGCAGGGTGGGCTTGGGGCCCAGCACCTGCCAGGTAAAGAGACAGGGGGTATCACAGAGCCACCCCCCCCAGGGACACTTGGGTCCCCCTCTCCTCCCAGCAGGGATGTTGGGGTTCCATCATACTTTGAGCATCTCAGGTGGCTCCTCGCTGTCCACCACGATCTCCAGGCGAGCCTTGCCACCCCGCTCACCGTCCCTGATGGCTGCGGCCAGCTCCTGCGCCCGGCTGCGCTCCAGCATGTTGCACTTGGCCCCACACCAGACAAAGAGGGTCTGGGGACAGGGAGAGGGACAATGGTGATGGAATCATCTCACCTCCCCCCAGGCTACCATGGTAGCCTCCAACCCACAGCACCCAGGTTGAGGATGAAGCAGTCACTAAGGTTGAAGCTGGCCCACAGAGATGCCCTGATGGACAAATGGACACCCCGACAGGTGGATGCCCCAACAGACAGACAGACACCCAGATGGACAAATGGATGGACAGCCTGATACTCCAACAATCAAACACACCTATGGATAGTGGGACACCCCAACTGATTGATGGGCATTCCAAGAGACAGACATCTTCAAGGACAGACAGACACCCCTATGTATAGACAGATGGCCCATTGGACAGATGGCCACCTGGAAAGACAGATGAACAACCCAACAGACTGGTACTCAGAGTACCAGACAGACATCCCAGCAGATGAGACACCCAGAAAACCAGGCAGACACTCCTATGGATGGACGCACACTTTGACAGACAGATGAACACCCCAACAGATGGACACCCAGAAGACCAAATAGCCAGCCCTATGGATGGACAGATGCCCCAATGAAAAGGAACACCCCAATGAGCTGATGGACACACAGAAGAACTCATTGCGCTTCCCCCTGCACCAGGCGAGAAGGCTGTGGGGGGACAGGGAGAGGGACAGTGGTGACAGGGCCACCCAGCAGCCCCTGCCCACCTTGCCCAGGTCAAGGATGAAGCAGTCACCGGTGTTGAAGCTGGCCCAGCTCAGGTCCCGCTCACTCGCCCGGATGTTCTTCTTGCCCTTCACCTGGTAGAGCTTGTACGTGGGGCTGGCACCGGTGTTGGTGGACTTGAACGCCGAGTCCACACCGCCCTCCTGCCAGCAAGGGGGTTGCTGAACACCCTGTGGGGGTGCCCAGCACCCAACAGGGATGACCAGCGCCCAGAGGTGATGATGAGCACCCAACTGGGGTGCTGAGCGTTTGGTGGGATGACCAGCACCCAAGGGGGATGACCAGCACCAGAGATGCTGAGAACCCAGAGGTGATGGTGAGAACCCACCAGGGAGGCTGAGCACCTGAAACCCAGCACCTGGAGGGGGTCCCACACACTCAGTGGGGAATATGCAGGCTGGTGAGGGTGCCGAGAGCATAGTGGTGGTGCTGAGCATGCCGTGGGGATGCTCACCCATCTGGGGTGCTGAGAGCCCGGTTGGGATGTTGAGTGCTCAGAGGGGATTCTGAGCACCCAGGAGCCCCCCAAGCACCCTTCAGGGGTGCCCAGCCCCCGTACCTGGTAGGTGACACCGTGGGGGAAGTACTCCATGAAGATGTCGGACTCGTTGCCCTGTACCTCACGGTGTGTCACGGGGTGGTCACCCAGCAGCGCATTCAGCTGGGTGGAAAGGAGGGCGCAGGCACCCTGCTCATCCCGCGAGGAATCCCGGCCTGCAGCGACAGCCAGCGCTGAGCCCCTCCAGTCCCACCACTGCCCCCCCACCACCACCCCAGGGCTCACCTATCCAGAGGTGGAGGTGGGCTTGCTCCTCCGGCCCGTTGTGCAGCACCAGGTAGGCCGAGAAGAAGACACCCCACATTGACTTGGGGACCTCCACTGGCTTCAGCTTCTCCACTCGCCAGATGTGCAGCCCCGGGAGGGTGGCAGCAGGGCTGAAGGGGGAACCACTGTGGGGTGAGAGGCAACATGAGCGGGGGGGCAAGGTGGGGTGGGAGATGGGTGGGGAGGGGGTTGGTACCTTTTGGGGAGCGCGGTGTACATGGCATCAGGGAGGTGATGGCCAGTGGGGTGGGAGACGGCTGGACCTGCAGATGGAGGGACACCTTGACACAGACAGCAAAAGGGACAGAGATCTGGGAGGTCAAGGACACCCCAACAGGGAGATGGGTGCCCCAACAGACACCCTGACGGGTAGATGAACACCCCAATGGAGAGATGGACATCTAGAAGGAGGGACAGACATGCCTACATGCACATGGAGGCCCCTACATAGAGGTGGACACCCCCATGGACAGACGGACACACCAACAAATAGACACCCAGGAAGACAGACAAACACCCCAACGTCCAGAGGTACCCCGACGTACAGCTGGACACTTGGAAAGACAGATGGACACCCCCATGGATAGGTGCACACCTGGAAGGACAGACAGCCCAGTGGGTGGGAAGCCACTGGGACAGACTGACAGACACCCCCAGAGGCACTCACCCTGCGACAGACAGGTAGACACCCTGAAGGACACCTCGAGAGACACACAGACACCTGGATGGACAGATGGACACCCCGAAGGACAGCCGGATGGACTGAGAGACACACGCCCTGATGGACAGACAGACGCTCCGGGGGACAGCCAGCCAGCCCCCGCAGACGCCCCAACACCCGGAAGGTGGTGGCGGTGACTCAGGCGGCAGGAAAGGGTGGGGACTGGGGGACGGGGGGGCACGCCCTGATGGACAGACAGACGCTCCGGGGGACAGCCAGCCAGCCCCCGCAGACGCCCCAACACCCGGAAGGTGGTGGCGGTGACTCAGGCGGCAGGAAAGGGTGGGGACTGGGGGACGGGGGGGGCCTGGCCATGCGTGGGCCCCGCTGGGAGGGGTTGTGGGGATACTGGGGAGGGCTCATGGCCTCGAGTGGGGTCTCTCACACCAGGGATGGGGGGACACCGAGCCCTGGGACCTCCTGCCCTGGAACCGGGGGAGGCTGTACTGGAAATATGGGGTGGCTATACTGGGGGGAGGCTGTACTGTGGGAGAGACTGTACTGGGACCTGTAATGGGAGGGCTATACTGGGTGGGGGGGATTGTACTGGGAGGGGCTGGGGGACAGCAGCACTGTACTGTACACTCCCAGCTGCACTGGGATGGGCTTGTACTGGAATGCTGTACTGGGAAGGGAAGGCTGTACTGGGTAGGGAGGACTGGGGGGAGGCTGCACTGGGAGACCATTGTACTGGGGGAGCCGTAAGGGGTGAGGGAGGCTGTACTGGGATCTGCACTGGGAGGGAGGGGCCCTGCTGTGGGCTGCATGGTGTGGGGGGGCTGCAGCGAGGCTCACTGGGAAGCACTGGGCGGCACATGGTAGGGGCCTCCCCCCCTGCTCCCCGCAGGCCCCATCCGCAGCATTGCTGGGAAGTGACTCACGGCTGGGGGGGGGCACGCATGTGACGAGTGCGGGCGGCCTGAGCCAGCCACGTGGGCCTGGGGAGCCTGCGGGGCCAGGGGGCACCCACCGTGCCCCCCAGGTGCTTAGGGTGGCAGCTGGGGGGGGCAGAGGGGCCGCACACCCCATCCTGACCCCCTGTCCATGCATGGGGGTCATGCATGTCCACTGTGTGTGTACTGCGTGTGCACTGCGTGTGCAGTGTGTGTGCGCTGAGTCCCACGTGCGGTGCACGGGCCATGTGTGTAGAACCGCCTTATGTGCAGCGTGTTCAGTGTGCCCCATGTGCAGGGAACCTGTGGGCTGTTGTCTCCCATGTGTGTGCAGGGCCTCACGTGTGCAGCATGTCAGTGTGCTGCTCTGTGCGATGGCAGGGTTCCCCTGTGCTCTGCGTGTAGTGTCATGTGTGCAGTGTGTGTGCAGTGCTGCGTGTGCCGGGCAGAGGTGTCAGCATGCACTGTGTGACTGTGCAAGGCTGCAGTGCCAGGGTAGTGTGTGTGTCTACACACGTGGTGCCCATGCCGGGCTGCAGTGCTGGTGTGCAGTCGCAGCGTCTCCGTGCCCCTGTGTGTGCAAGGGGCTGCAGAGCCAGTGCCTGTTCCAGCCAGTGCCCTGGCACGGTGCCACTGCCCGCGTGGTGCCTGTGCAGTGCTGGTGCCGCGCACACGGTGCCGGAGCCAGTGCAGCGGCTGTGGTGGTTCCCAGCCAACCAGTGCACAATTGTAGAGCCAGTGCCGGCGCAGTGATGGTGCAGTGTCAGTGCTGGTGCAGTGCCAGTTGCAGTGCAGTTGCAGTGCCGGTGCAGTGCTGGTGCCAGTGCAGTTGCAGTGCTGGTGCAGTTGCGGTGCCGGTGCCGTTACAGTGCCGGTGCAGTTGCAGTGCCAGTGCCAGTGCCGGTGCCGATGTATTGCTGGTGCCGGTGCAGTTGCAGTGCCGATGTATTGCCGGTGCAGTTGCAGTGCCGGTGCAGTGTCGGTGCAGTTGCAGTGCCGATGTACTGCCAGTGCAGTTGCAGTGTCGGTGCAGTTGCAGTGCCGATGTACTGCCGGTGCCGGTGCAGTTGCAGTGCCGATGTAGTGCCGGTGCAGTTGCAGTGCCGGTGCAGTGCCGGTGCAGTTGCAGTGCCGATGTAGTGCCGGT